CTCCCTGATCAATGATCGTCAATATGGTTTTAGACCGAAACGATCGACGGGTGATCTTCTAGCGTACTTGACTCATATCTGGGGTGAGGCTATCGACAAGCGAGGCGAGTCGTTGGCTATTAGCCTTGACATTGCCAAGGCATTCGACAGGGTCTGGCACAAAAGTCTTCTCTCCAAGCTTCCGGCATACGGTCTGCCGGCCCAGTTCTGTTCTTGTGTAGCTGACTTCCTGCATGAGCGTAGAATTCGTGTCCTTACGGATGGTAGCAGTTCGCGGTTCATGTCAGTGAATGCCGGCGTTCCCCAGGGCTCCGTCCTATCCCCCACTCTCTTTCTGCTGCATATCAATGACTTAATTCCTCTTGGGAATATTCATTGCTATGCAGACGATAGTACAGTGCATGCGGGGTATCTCGGACAAGCAGCGGCTGGGCAGGCGGTAACCAAGGAGAAACGGGAGAATCTTGTCATTGAGCTCAATCAAGCTTTGGACCACATTTCTGTATGGGGTACCAAGAACTTGGTTGAGTTCAAAGCTAAGAAAACCCAGGTCTGTGCTTTCACGGCAAAAACGTCGCCATTCCTTTTATGTCCTTCTCTTCAGGGCACAACACTGGAGCTAGAGAGCAGTATCACCATGCTCGGTATGGAGATTCGCTGTGACTTAAATCCAAAGAATTACATCGAAAGTGTGATAAAAACAGCCTCACGCAAACTCGGAGTCCTGAAGAAGGTGCGGCGTTTTTTCACGCCCGAGCAACTGTGCTTGTTGTATAAAACGCAGGTGCGGTCTTGCGTGGAATATTGCTCGCACCTCTGGGATGGCTCCGCTAAGTACTTGCTCGATGCTTTGGATAGGTTACAGCGGCGCGCAATCCGCATCATAGGCGATGAGGAGGTGACTAAACACCTCGAGCCTCTTCAATTACGCCGTGACGTGGCGTCACTAAGCGCGTTCTATCGCCTGTACCACAGCGAGTGTTCTGAGGAGTTACTCTCTCTTATTCCACCTTCCCCTTTCCTTCAGAGGACCACGCGCGCTGGCTTACATTGTCACCGTCTAACTGTGGCTACAATTCCAACGCGTACAAAGAAATTTGGTGACTCATTTCTTTGTCGTACTATCCGTAAATGGAATGCTCTGCCCGCTCACGTGTTCCCACCCTCTTACAATCTGGGATCCTTTAAAAGAGGCGTGAAGAAGCAACATGCAGGCCGGCAGGGTGAGGATGGCTGGTGTGGCAGTTAGAACTGCTGTATCAGCTATCTTCGCGTCTGGACTTCACCTTCACTTAACATCAGGTGGGGTGGAGTCATTTGTCGGATCTATCTATAAAAAAAAAAAAACTATAATAAAATTGGATTGTTTTTCTTTCAATTTTTAACCCGGGGGGGGGGGGGGGGGGTTGCTCTACGGGCCACAGAGGATCCGATAAGGCCCTATGAAATGTACTCGATACTTTGAAGTATCGATACTTTTGTTTCGATACTTTTACGAGTACGATACTTTTTTACCGATACTACTCATGAGTACAGTATCGATACTTTCTATTCGATATCGTGTCCCTAAACGTGTCGGCTGCTTTGACGTTTGCACGCGTAGTGGCTGACTATTGTGTGAATGTGTGCGTGCCGGCTTGTACGTACAGCGACCTGGCCGACTCTGAGCGACACAGTTTATTGTTTACCGGGACTCAGTCCGCCTTTTTTTATAAGTCCATGCTCAATATGTTACAAGTATCTGGAGAAATGCACATTTACGTTTTCCAAGTAACCTAGAACCCACTGAACATGGATGGCAGCTGAAGGAGGATAAATTGGATTTTTATTGGTTTGATGGGGATTGCATGCCGCAATTAGTTATCGATGCAATTGATCCTGGGACATTTGAACACTCTGATGAAAATGCTACAGGTATGTAATAATAATTTGTTAAATACTCGCACTATTGATTGTATTTCACATTTGTTAAAAAAAATATTTATTTTCAGACAATGAAGAAGAGTTCGTAGAACTCAACTCTATGGACGAGTTCACAAGCGACGAGGAGATTCCATCAGATATCGATGAATAAAAAAAATTACATAAAAAGTATATCAAATTTTTTTTGTAAAAATTTATTTTTTTATAATAAATAATAATAAAATGATATCACCTGGCAAGATTAAATAACCGCCAGAACGGCCTGTCATTTGATATATGGCATCTTATCAACACAACAATTATTGTGTATAGATCCCAGCTTGCCTCAAGTACATTTTCTGCGCAAAAAAAAAATATAACTTTAAATCGCCTGTCACCATTTAAATCCCAACCAAATCGCCTGGCATTATGATATATCGTTTAATTAAACATAAGACTTTAAAATGCTCTAAGATTCAAAGTGCCTCAAGAACATTTTCTGCATGAGAAAAATTGCGATTTAAAAAAATCATAGCTCATTAACGCCCCGCAACCTCCCAGCCAGGTCGGCCATTTCATCATCCACACATTCGCAACTAATCAACAATAATATTTTCAATGTGCCTCAAGGATGTACCTACTCAAAAATGGCTGTCAGCTCTCCGGCTATTAGTCAGTAACGTGAGTACGTTTTCTAAAACTTGTCAAATACCCTATTACCAAAAAATTGGAAATAAACGAAAATGAAACTCACGAAGAACAAAAGAACACAGGCTTGAATGTGTTCCATTTTCGAATTATTATTACAAATTTCTGCCAGTCGCATTATAACTGTGAGTTCAAAAAGAAATGCATACGTACTACAGTTTGTATATCACTTTATTATTTTTATCACGTAATTCACAATCCTTTCATTTAAAATGCTATGTTATTTAGCAAAAAATAATTCTTATGATTAACCCTTAAAATCTCACGAGTTTGATTCCCAGTTTGTAGCAGGCGATTTTTAAAAAACTGTGAATGCAGTTCTAGTTATTATTAAAAATAAAATGATGTTTTCTTTCAGTAAAATGTCCTATCTTCAATATTTAATATACTTTCACTCCATGTGAGGTAGCCGTGGGACGCCCTGTATAGTTTGTGATAAAAACCATGCCGAAACTCATTAGGGCTGCGTTTAAGGAATGTATAGCGAGATATGAGTTTGCAAAGAACCAATGGAATCACTACACAAGGAAACGATCTTCTTAGCACATTTCTTGTGCAAACCCCCACACCGTTTCACAGCTTGGATACACATCCTCGCTCCGCTCATTTTCTTAACGATTCCCAGCTAAAAGGTTGAGTGTATGGTGTTAGTATGAGAGAGTGTAGTGTAGTCAGGTATGGCTGCGTATCCCAGAGAAATAAGTTGATAGTCCTTGAGAGAACTGCGGCTTAAGTCCCTGAAATTCGATTTGCGATTGTGGAAGCAACTTTTGTAATGGTTGGTTATGGGATGGGTGACCAAAATTTATTGTCGTTAAGCCGTTCCCAGGTGTATCTAGTCTTTAGTATCCACTTAACCGCAATGCCACAGTGCTCTCCTCGTGGTGGGTCATGCACGTGCGCAGTCCAAACTCCCTATTCTTATTCCCCCTACACGGTGGAAGTTCTGTTGCTCTTAGTTCGCCAGAACTCAAAAAACCGGCCAAGTGCGAGTCGGACACCCGCACCAAGGGTTCCGTACAAACCTGAATTTTCAAAAATATTTTTGAAGTTATACTTCTTTAGGCGCGTTATGAAAAAATGATGAGAGTGAAATTTTAAGATGCGCGCGCATCACTGTAACACAAAAAATTAACAGCATGAAGTTGGTCGCTTTAGCGATGCTGTTACTTTTGTGTTTACCGCACATTATGAAAATCTACCAACAAAATAGAAATAGAATCTCTATTTAGTGGGTGCTAACGACTGCATTGTGAAGGCCTATCAAAAGTATTTATTAATCTGGAACAACGGAACCAAAGCGCGATTCAGGAGACTACAGCGCCATCTCCTGACCATTGGTGTAGTAGAACCAAAAACCACATCTTTATTTTTCAATGTTACTTTTATGTTATTATTGTAATAAAGTAACAGTTATAGGTATTCATATTTATAATATTTATCCACATGTTTCTAGTTTGTATATTCGGAATACGTGTTTGAGTTTCATACAAGTGCAAATCACATATGTTCTAATAAATTATATTCAGTAGCGATTTTAATTGAATATTTTGATTATTTATTTATTTTTTCAAATTAAAACTGAACTTTATTGACTGTGTCCTTTTCCAGACTTTTTATTAATTTATTGTAATTAATTATTTGCATGCAATTAAAAACTAATTTTAAACGATGCCAAAGAAGGATAACTTCTCACGCGCCTACATAAGTACACGCACCCATTTTTATTTATTATATGATGTAACTAAAAATTTACGGTTTTCGCAAATTTTCCTTTATCTGTACTATAAGACATTAATTCGTACCAAATTTCAAGATTCTAAGTTCACGGGAAGTAGGTTTTGATTGCCGTGCGAGTTTCTAAAATTTGAGGCATAAACGGCTGTATCTTTTGATTGATTTGGCTTTTTTCATAGCTCCAAGGGACAGTAGACATGAGTATTAGATATGAATTTCAGTTTGATACCTCCACGCGTTCCTGAGAAAAACGGTCTTGACAGACGGACGGACGTTTTTTCCTTTTGAGGTACGGAACCCTAGAAACAGCTGGATTGGATTTGATGAAATTGTGTGTACCAAGTGTGCCCCTGGATGGTTTAGATTATACACAGCCGGACACGGTAGGCGTCAATATAGTTGGGTTTTTGGGATATTAACATAACTCAGAGCGTGGAGCTCGATGGCGTGGTTAGCGCGTTCAGCTGCGATCGTTGAAGTTACGCTATTTTTCGCAGTGGTCGGTCATTAGATGGGTGACCAAAAATTTACTATCTCGAGCTCCTCCGTGCTTCGGAAGGCACGTTAAGCCGTTGGTCCCGGCTGCATCTGCTGTCGTTAGCACCCATCAATCCGCACTGGGCCCGCGTGGTGGGTGCTAACGAATAATTAATTATACATAATTAAACCAAGCCTGCAAATAGGATGAAATAAAATAATACAAACTCATACTTTAACAAAATCATCTTTAGCAAATTTGTTTTAATTCATACAGTTAAAAATGATTCTTCGAACATGCCACTTTACAAGTAGGTATACAGCATACAATAAATATTGTAACATTAATATAGCAAATTAATCTTATGAAATATATACATTCTTTTAATTCACTTGTCGAACGCCGTACAATTCGAGGACTTATTCACTTGTCTTAGTGCACGCAATACTGTCGTTTTAATTAAGATCATTAAAATAAACATTTTAAATGTCTCTTGTACTTGATCAGTACAATAACTGATTAATCTTGGGTACAGTTTAAGTAGATTATAATTATCACAATAAATCTATGATTACAACCGTTATGGTTGTAATAGTTGTCAGAATGAGGGCTGCGGCTTATGAATCCACCGCTAGAGGCGCTTGTGTAGCGTGAGGTCTCCGAAATGTCAAATGTTATTGCTTGTGAGTTGACTACGGGGGTTTATTTCTAATTACAATAACGTTGTGAATATTTGGTAATAACTCAGATTAATTGTAGCAAATTTGAGTTACGAGTCAATGAATGTCAGTTATTCAAAGCCGAAGCTATGCCAAAAATATTATGTCCTCCTTTTTTAACGAAATAAACGGAACGTAGTCGGCCACAGTGAACACTTACGATACAGTTATTTGGTATTAAAATATGATTTAAATGTAAAACTTGATTTCACGCGCGTATTACCAAACTAAAGCTACACTTCAGTACCTCATTCAACAGTGGCGCCGTCTGGTGAGACAAAAAAAGGAAGCCCTCATGAAATTATTATTCAAGTAAACACCGGCAAACCTTTAAAGTACAGACCATAAACAAGGAAGCCTGCGCAGTAGCAATTTTACATACAATAACGTCTACTGCTCAAGTTTTCATTTGTTTCTGGTTTTGCTCAAGAAATTTGCCGCTACATATACGTCTTTCTATCCGTTCAGTGTCTACTGATTTAATTAACACGAATTTAATAAATCCAAATACATTGGCCCTTTACTTAATAAATATCTTTTAACTCGTCTACTTCGCCTTTGATAGAAATAAAAAAAAAGTAAGGTGTGTGAAATGATTTTATTAGTTTTGATTCGTTACTGTTGAAATGAAAAGATGTACAGCAGAGGCTTACAGGAGGTAAGGACGGAACCCTAATTGTAATTTAGAAACCATTCGTCTCAAAACCGCTGTGCTATTTTCCAAATGCCAAAGAAGAGACGCACACATATTCAAGTTCAGAATGAGATTACTAACAAAAAAATAAAATAATGATTATTTGTAGAGGGTCAATAAAGAAAAAGTTATTGCACCATTCCTCATTTTTGTGAGCTTTTTAGAGACCAAAAATAATAATTCAGAATAATTAACGATCCATTTACAGATCAAAACCTAACATATAAATCGCACCCTTACAATGAAAGCTCCCCAACTCAAAGACTTTGCAAATTTTGCTACAATTAGAACTTAAAAATCTAGGGAATTGAATTGGATACTTGCCACCCTGTAGGGAAAAGGCACCTAACCAATTTTGTACATAGGTCACTTTAATTTGGGTGCGATATGTGCAGTCAAAAATATAAACTCGGGTAAACATATACGTGCGTAAATCGCTTGCAGTCTAGCCCAATAGGCTAGTTGACTCATGTCGAATTGTATTAAATAAATGTTTATTTCTTAAAGTATTTCGTCTAAGGAACCTAAATATATCGATTTCACTTCATAAAAGCAGAAGATTGCTGTAGAAATTTAATTTAAAAAAATAATTTTTAGTCTATATTTTCTAAACACTAAAAACGCTATTCGCCACATCCGCCATGATTGTGACGTCTCTTATGGTAAACAACTAAATGTCATTCGCGTGTTACTGTGGGTGGATTCTTTCGTCTGACTTTTATCTTAAAACACTTTTAACTTTAGAAAAGTTTCCGTTTACTGTTTTTTTTGAAAAAACTAATTATGGAAGCCGGCTTTGTGAAAACAGAAAGCACAAATCTGCCAAGAATTGACGCATTCATGGTTGGTGAATTTATTGCACTAAACTCCGATTTCTGCTCTGCGGAGCAGAGAAACGACAAGGCATCTATGTAAGTACAGTGTATTTAGTATTACAATGTAGTAATAAACATAAAACTGATACAACATATGAATAAGTGTAATAAAGTTGCGTAGGTTAATTTCTTTCGGCACTTTTAATCCAAAACTTTCCTGGAGTCTTCAAGGATGTGTTTTTATATTCTCGTACAATACAATAATGATAATTACTTTATTTTTCGGGGTATTTATTAGAAATCATCTTTTGATTATTATAGTCAGTTAAGTTATTTTCTACGTGCTTACGAGTTTTTGTTTATTTACCTTTCCTATGTGTTTACTGCAGTTAACGTCATAGCATAGATAATCTATAGACTAAAATGGCCGACAGCGTTTTTGTATATCCATGAAAAATCTATTTTAAAATTAAAAATTTGTAGCTTTTTAGGTCTCAAAAAAATACAATACATTTTTTTTCGGTCTAATAGAACATTTATTAACCATTTAAAACCTTTTTCCAAAAAGGGTCAACTAGCCTATTCAGTTTGTATAAAATTTCATCGCTCCTCTCTATTCACGGAAAGGAGTTAGTGGAAAGCTTTCTTTATCACACAATCCCTTACAAAAAAAAGTAGGCTATAAACCTGCGTCACTCAAAATAGGGGGCTGTCATTGGCCGAAGTAACGACAGCAATACAATCCGGCCAATGACGGCATAGCTTAGCTTTCGTCGGTAGTAGCTCGTTTCCGTGAATACAGTAGGAGTAGGTATATAAAAATAAGTAAAAGCCTTTAACCGTATTACGTTTTTATAAGGCTAGAAATCGTATTATGAACTCTTATAACTCAAGCCTATAGATAAAGAATCCAATCTTGACATCACTCTATCCTTTTCATTCCTCATAAAGCTAGATAAGGACAGACTGTTGTCAAATTTACAAATAAGCATATGGGTAATATGTGCGAGAGGTACAGACAGATCTCAAGATCAATAGAAGCACAGACTCAATATTTATTATCGCGAATTATATACCCATATTATTAATAAACAAACATTAAATTTGGGACTTATTACACGGTGTTTTGTCTCTGTTCAGTGTTATACAAAAAAACTGCATAGGTTGGTAGATAAATATGGCCAAGCCAAGCAATAACAGTGGTAGAAGCGAAGTCACAGTCCATAGAATATAATAATAATTGTGATGTCTCGCTGTATCAAATAAAAATTGCCTAGCGTTGAAAGTTCATAATACAACCTTAGGGCGCTTCGATAAGTGACAATCGTTATATAATATAACATTGATAAACAATAAAAAATAGTATACGACAGTGACGGATCATCCATTTGGTAAACGGGCGCGTTACTACGAGTGCATGATAATGAGAGATGAGAAAATAAAAAAATAAAAATTATTATTATAGGGTGGTGTATATAAAAGGGTGTACATATGGAACTTATTAAACGGTACAAAGTTAAGTAAGCATTTAAGAGGGGAAGCGGGCTATGTTTTTGAAGTGAAAACTTCTTTAGCGGCGTTGTACACTTTTTTTGTATGGGTAAAAAATGTTAAATAGGTTAAACACGTGGGCTGATCGCATCATGACACACACACATAAAATTGGAAAGGTTGTCGACTTTCAAGATATTGGACGAAACATAGTTATATTTTATTTTACCGTATTATAATAATAAGTCTATCTAGGACGTCCACGTGGCAGCTTTATTGTGAATAAAATGCATTTTTTTACATAGATGTCGCTAGGTGCGATTAAATGTGATTCAAGTAAGTTGATTTCTTTACAATAGATGTCGCTAAGTGCGCTTAAACTTTTTTAATGTAATATGAATTGTCATGTTTGTGTACGACAGCGCAATAAATAAATATTGTATTCTACCACATACATGATAGTACTTTTATACTGATAAATAAAGCAATTCGTGCAAAATTATTCCCAAACCATTCCAAAATATAAAAAATGCACAACGTTAATATTCAAGTTTTCACTTCTGCCGGCACTCCCGGAATGCAACCTGTCGTTTTTTTTCCATACAAACGTTCTCGACAGATTCCTCTTTGATTTTTATCACTCAAGAATTGATTTTCATAAATAAAATATAATTTTACTCATTCTATGCTCCTGTATCTTCCTTTTATCGATAACTTGAGTTTCAAAGAAACTAGAAGCCCTCGAAAAAGGCCAAAAAAATAAAAAAAATTTAATCACCACTAAAGACGTCCAGTGTGGAGATTTAATAAGCTTTCTATAAAAAAAAAACAAAACAGAGAGGCATAGTTTAACTACTTATTATTCTTCGTGTAAAATTTCTTTTACGTAAATCTAATTTTCGAGGAGGAAATCGCCGAAAGTGAAACCTCGAATTTTGCAATTTTCAGCGTTAGCTACTGTTGTCTCTATCGCACGGTATTTGCCAATGCGTGACAGCAATAGTTTTTTCCAATACCTATTTCTCAAAATGTAACTCAGCTCGCATCCGCTCTTAATAGCAATTTTCTTACATAACTGAGAATAGACCTTCACTAAGGATCTTCACACCGATCGATCGCATTTAGAGGCTATATCCAATGATATTAAATACCCTAGATACACCAACACGAACAAAATCGTGCCCGAAACCTGTCCAAAAGGTACACTGAACGATCCACAGAGCTCCATATCCATAAAATCAATATAAGGCATTATTTAAATATTGAAAGTAACCTTAAATACATACTGTATAAGGTACTTAAATAAAACGCATGCGTCAAGGACTTCTGACAGTTCGAAATGCAAGCTCGTAAAATTTTACGACTTATTGCTCTGTGCGGAAGAATTTAGACCTTAGCTCTTTGACTCTACGCGCAATTCTGAACGCGCTGTTAGCAATATAGCAGGCACGGACCGCGAGGAAAAGAGACGGCATGGTCGGTTATACGTCGCCATATTATGGCGACGTATAAGCGACCATGCATTTGTATATCACAAATATTTTGTATTAAATCAATTTATAGTAAGTATTAGATCAAAATTTACTTCAAATAAGTTAAATTAACAAACATTGACTGAATACCTGTCGAAAAAACGACACTTTTCGTACTTTAAGTATTATTTTCGCATTTTTTTGCGGAGCTCTGTGGCATCTTGACTTTGTAACGGTCCGCGCGTGACTGTGAACCAAGAAGTGCTTGAGTGGTGTTCAAGCACTTCTTGATTGGGACACATTTTGAGCGCTCGTGGTGTATCTAGGGTATTTAATATCGTTGGCTATATCACATAAATAAAGAAATCAAGTTCTTTGTATCTAAACCGAATAACCTTTTTGATAACATTTGGTATGGATAGGTTAAATCCTGAGTACCGACCATCGCGCCACTGAGTATTCTGTAAATTAAATTGGATGCTAAAATTCATTAATCAATTATCAAACAAAAGTTTGTAATCAATTTATATCTTAACGTTAAAACGAATAAATTATTGCCACTTGTCCAACTGCCCAAATGTCGCTTCTCAATATACAAACCCACGAATGCCCTAACCAAAAGGCGCTAATTATAAAATAAGCAGTATAAACATCATTATCATGTATTCCGGACAATTCTATTTTACATTGGAAATCAAACATTTCTCTATACAGTATAATCTCACTAATCCACCACTTCGATAGATCGGCACGTCCAATAATACGGCACCCTCCGCCTATGCCTCCCTCGCCCCTCTACACCTGTGCTCTTGGATTTGTTAGTGATTGGTAAAGCAGAAAATCCCAGAGCTTTCAAGAACATTTGTCTGCCAGTCTGCTACAGGAAGCAAATTAGAAAGAAGTTGGGTCACGAGAGAAGTATTCAGCGAATGGTTTCATAATGACTTTGTCCCAGAAGTCGAGAAGTTTATGAAAAGATCCAACTTGCCAATAAAAGCATTTGATTTGTTTCAATACCTGCATAATATGGGCAGAAGAAAACGGCATGTCTGCCAAAGATATTATAATTCTTCGCAACATGTGAGAAAAGGTTTTAAACTACAAGTTGCACAAAAGCAGACCTCAATTAAGGATAATTTTAAAACTATGTAATTCCATATGTATGTACTTGTTAAATTAATACATTACATACATTTATTCCATCCACGAAATGCTTCATTTCATTCGTTGCCTACGACTTTTTCACTATAATCCAGTAAGTGATCCGGCACCCTCCGGTCTTTAATAGTGCCGTATTAGTGAGATTATACTGTATATGATTACAAAAGCAAATCGTTAACAAAGAAAAAAATACTAAAAGTTAACAAAATGGAATAATTATGAACTTCACCTATTTATTCTAATAATTGCCCTAACCAACCATCAATGTACAGTCACACGCATAATCGTATCTACTAAACAATAATTAATGCATATTAGCATCTAACTTAAGTGATAGAATCAGACGTGTGATCGAAACGATTTATTTACAAAAATTACAAGAGTACCCGTAACACTGTATAATACAATTATTCCAATTCATCGATTATAAACCAGTAATCTGGAGCTTCGCAAGTATACGAGATAAACATTTTTAACAGAGGTAAATATACATTTTTATCTTTGAATTGATGCGTCAAACAAAACCTTCCAAAACTATAAATTAAACAAGTTACTGCGTTGAATAAAACTGTATCACGATATTTAATATATGCAATAGGTATACAAATAAGCCAATTGCATTATTTTCGTCTCACAAATACCGGAATTACATCTGTTCAGCTAAAAACAATTACATTGTAGGTTAAGTCTGGTAATTTCATTGCTAAAAATTTACCAGTTTTGGAACCAAATAAAAATAGATGTAAACATTGATAAATCTATCAAGGTTAACTAACAGTGAAGCGTAAGAGTATGCATGTATTATCCTTTGATATTGTTACGGAAACAAAATCACTACAAACCATTCTACATTTTTTTTTTATTTAAAGACGAAAAGTCGTCAAAGTATAACCATTAGTCAGTCTTCGAAGACGCAGAAGTCCCTATTCAGTAAGATTGATCGATTGATAAAAACGCCAATGTCTGAATAAATAGTTTGCAATACAATGTAGTTTGTACCACTTTTAACCACTAGACGATATTGAACATTTTCTCTCGCGACTGTACTCATCACTGAAATAGGACTTCCTAATAAAATTAATTTCAACTACTATTACACAACCCAATTTTAAGGGCCCTAAGGGTGGGCGTGTATTACACTGCCTTATCAATCGGACCCTAACTCAGTCTGAAAGTAAAAATCGTATCGGTTGAATGTCGTCGTTGACACCGGATGCATTCTGATCAATTTTTTATAAACTTCTCTAAATCCTTCGGCATTTTTCTCTTTATTTAAAGGATCATATTTCTTTTTATTATGTCATAAATAAATAGAAATAAGTAACCAATTGTATTTATTTGAGAATCAATTAGTATTATTTGGTGGTTATTTAAATGTGTGCCTTATTTGAATAGTTTTGTTTTTTTTACCACAAAAATTATAGAACACAATTAAGTAACACTTCTTTCTCTTCATTAGATGCCATTGCGCCCATATACTAATTCGACTACAAAAACGTCCATACGCTCTCGGAGCGTCGACTGAGCTCCCTTACTGCCTAACAGCTATTTCGCTACCCGATTGTCAGGGCGTAAGAGACCCTACATAGGGAGATCGGATCGCGTCAATCGGATTTTTTTTAAATTACTTTGAATCTGAATAATAAAATTACATATTGATTTAAATACCATACTATTATAACTAAGTGAGAAATGGTACCATTTTATGACTAAAAAGTCCGGACTTTTTACGAAATCTCAGGATTTTTGTCAGGACTTTTGAAATTCCTAAATGGTAACCCTAATCGGGTCCCTTACTCCCTAATTTCTTTTACACCGCCCTTAAACAGGGCCCCTTAAAATTGGGTAGTCTAATAGGCCCTTTCATCACTCCCGCCTAGATGTACAACTTTGTACAAGTTATGGACTAGATATAGGTACAATAGCGGTCACAAGTAAATCATGTTATATAACAAAACTAAAATATTACAGCATTTTATTTTAATACGATAGATAGATTTGTTTTAGCAAAATTTACAAGTTATTCTTTCCGATACACGAATAATGAAGTTACTTGTTACTTTTAATGTCTTGTCTATATATAAGCATAGCTAAAATATGGCATAGCTTTGCGATGTTTCTCATGTTATGATAAACATTGTTCATCGTGAAATAAATTGACTAAAACGTTCACATTATTCACTTGTGGCCGTTACTGTACAATGTGATATATTTCAGTCGTCTCCTATTTTGTGTTTGCAAGCCGCTAATATTTCTGTTAGTTGTGAAAATTTCGTGCAGGCCTCTTGGAGCATATTCCTGGAGAGATAAAATTAAGTTAGAATTCAAAAAATTCAATATCGTTTATTCAGTCTAGGCTGTTACAAGCACTTGTGAATGTCGAAAAGCTACGCCATCGGTTCGCAAATCTACGGCGGGAGACCTTGTACTGAGAAGAACCGGCAAGAAACTCAGCAAGGGCTGTTTTTTTCTCCCTGTATTATATACAGAGTCGTCAATTGAAAAATGACTTCAATATCAACTTATGAAGTCACTTTCCATTACAAATGTAAATGATAAAACAATTATGACTATAAAATAAAAAATACAAAAAACAGATTTAAAAATAAAAAAGTTTAAATGCCGTGTCCTACTGTTTAGGCATAAAAACAAATGTACCATTAAAGTTAAATACAACGATTAATAGTACCCAATGTAGCAAGAGCAGACTCATCTCCGCTGGCAGCACCCGTTCACGAGCATGACGCATGAACCAGCCATAGCTTCGTTCAACCATTTTTTAGGGAACGTAACGACCCGCCTCACACGACACCGCCGAAGAGATTTTTAAGAGAGCATGACTACTCATAACCACATATGGATACTAGATAGCAAAATAGGGAAAAAAAATTAAGTACCAGTGTACATTACTATAAAAAACTATAAACACAACTGTAGGACACATGCATGTGATTACCTAAACACTAGTGTCGACTCTGCCACTGCTCTCCAAACCCAAAACCAAACCCAACATCAGTGCCCCCCCCCCTTCACTCTGTATAGAGAATGACAAGGATACACGGCTGCAAAACCAAAGTTCAGGTCTAGAGAACCATGCCAGAATCCACACCACCATTAAATCTTTATCTTAGAAATAATAAATGTTCACCTAAATTTTGATTTTGATTGCTGTGCCATACAGTATAAATACAATTACAAATAAAATTTAAATTAAATGATTAATTATCATTATAATAATAATAAAGTAGTATAGAGCAGACTCATCTCCGCTGGCAGCACCCGTTCACGAGCATGACGCATGAACCAGCCATCGCTTCGCTCAACCATATTTTAGGGAACGCAACGACCCGCCTCACACGACACATATAAATATTGAACCGTGAAAATACCTACATTTTGCACGCCTTACAACGCGTAAGCGTGTGGGAGTGCTTTACTCTCGATAGGCCGCTATGTGACGATTTTACAATATAAAATCGCTCCTATCTCCCAAGATAGACACTAAATTAATAAAAAAGGGGTGTTTTGAAAACTAGACATATTAAAATATAAAGTCAGCGTATCTTTTCATTTATTTTTTAGTATATATAACAAAAAATATAGTTAAAAAATTATTAGTACTGCTGTCCGTTGGTCTGTGCACTTGTTTTTCTGCACATTTTAGAAAAATATACGCAATTAATTGTAAAAAATCCTTTCGAATTAATTTCCACTTATACTGAGGATGAACCCTATTTCTTATCATGATTAAACTGATAACCGTTTTAAAGATATTAATGAAATTCAATGGAATTTATTTAATGGGTTTCTGTTTCGTGAATGTGAGGCGTGCGTTTTTGGATTTTCCAAATTTTGTTATATTTGTATTGAAGCGTCAGGTTTTTGTATACGGAGAAAATTTTGATTACAACTTGAGATTTATGAGAGACAACCAGGCGAAAGCAGAGCTCGAGATCCTAGAGCCAAGCTTACCCGACATTATACCGAGGATATCCCGGACGTCAGCCTGTACGAGATTAGAATTGCCCTCAAACAGCTTAAAAACAACAAGGCGGCGGGAGATGACGGAATCACAACAGAGCTTCTGAGAGCGGGCGGTACGCCGGTACTTAAAGTCCTCCAGAAGCTCTTCAACTCCGTCATCCACCAGGGCAAAACGCCGAAGGCATGGAGCAGAAGCGAGGTGATTTTGTTCTTCAAAAAGGGTGATAAGACCCTACTGAAGAACTACAGACCCATCTCGCTTCTGAGCCATATCTACAAGCTGTTTTCGAGGGTCATTACGAATCGTCTCGCTCGCAGGCTCGACGACATCCAGCCTCCCGAACAAGCCGGTTTCCGAAAAGGCTTTAGTACCATAGACCACATCCATACGCTGCGGCAGATTATACAGAAGACCGAAGAGTATAATCGGCCACTTTGCTTAGCGTTTGTGGACTATGAGAAGGCCTTCGATTCGATCGAGACCTGGGCGGTGCTGCAGTCTCTCCAGAGGTGCCAAGTGGACTACAGGTATATCGAAGTGTTAAAGTACCTATACCAAAACGCCACTATGTCGGTCCGAGTACAGAATCAGAGCTCTAATCCTATCCAACTACAGCGAGGGGTGAGACAGGGAGACGTTATATCTCCGAAACTGTTCACTGCTGCGATGGAGGATATTTTTAAGCTTCTGGACTGGAAAGGACTCGGCATTAACATCAACGGCGAGTACCTGACACACCTTCGATTTGCCGATGACGTAGTCCTAATGGCGGAGACCTTGGAAGACCTGAACACCATGCTCGAGCATCTCAGTGACGCATCCCAGCGAGTGGGTCTTAAGATGAACATGGACAAGACTAAAATCATGTCCAACGCCCATGTTGCACCCGCTCCAGTTAATGTTGGGAACGTTACACTTGAAGTTGTTGACCACTACGTTTACCTAGGACACACAACCCAGTTAGGTAAGTCCAACTTCGAGAAAGAGATCTCTCGTCGAATCCAACTCGGATGGGCAGCGTTCGGGAAGCTGCGGAACATCTTCGCGTCCAAAATACCTCAATGCCTTAAGACGAAAGTCTTCAACCAGTGTGTGTTGCCAGTGATGACCTATGGCAGTGAGGCGTGGTCGTTTACTATGGGTCTCATAGGACGGCTCAAGGTCGCCCAGCGGGCAATGGAGAGAGCTATGCTTGGTGTTTCCCTGCGTGATCGAGTCAGAAATGACGAGATCCGTAGGAGAACTAAAGTCACCGACATAGCTCGAAGAATAGCCCAGCTGAAGTGGCAGTGGGCGGGACACATAGCGAGGAGAACCGATGGCCGTTGGGGCGGAAAGGTTCTCGAATGGCGACCGCGTGCCGGACGACGCTCAGTGGGAAGACCCGCTACAAGGTGGACCGACGATCTGGTGAAGGTCGCGGGAAAACGCTGGATGCGGGCAGCGCAGGACCGATCGTTGTGGAGATCCTTGGGGGAGGCCTATGTCCAGCAGTGGGCGTCATACGGCTGATATGATGATGATGATGAACTTGACATTATCAAAAAGGAACGATATGAGCATCAGATGAAAAAATATCCGGCTCAACTACATAAGCAACTCTCACACACGCACAATTAAAAAAAAAAGTGTGCTTATGACCACGCGACTGAAGTGAAACTTCTTTAGCTCCACATTTAGCTCACATATATATATATATATATATATATATATATATATATATGTGTGTGTGTGTGTACAATACAGGGCGTCCCACGGCTACCTCACAAGGAGGGGAAGTATATTAAATATTGAAGATAGGGTATTTTACTGAAAGAAGACATCATTTCATTTTTAATAATAACTAGAACTGCATTCACAGATTTTTTAAAAATCGACTGATACAACTGGGAATCAAACTCGTGAAATTTCAAAAAATAAAACACAACATATTTTATGGTAACCATCGAAAGGGTTAAACATAAGGATTATTTTTTGCTAAATAACATAGCATTTTAAATGAAAGAAAAATAAATAAATTTAACATTTTATTTAAAATTATTTAACACAAGCTAATATAAAAGCGGATACGCCTCAATGTAAGTTAAAACTTTGAGTTCATCATCGTAGACGTTTACCATCCGCTGCTGTGGTTTCTGTAAGCGCATATCAAAACTCCCTCCATGTGAGGTAGCCGTGGGACGCCCTGTATATACATGTAAGTACATATACATATTTAATTTACTAGCTATAAGAGAAAGAGAGAAAGTAAATGTGCGCGCGCACTGCTTTCTCTTGCTTATATCCCCCACTCAACTCCCGTTCGCTTCATCCGAACACACTTTTCGTAACGCGTAACGCATTGCCAGCTTCAAAAACTTTAAATCGAGCGATCGCGCATCGCTTGGAGACCGTCTGCGTTTGCCTTTTTTTTGTCTGTCTCCTTCACGGCAAGGGGAAGCCAGACAGACTGGCACCGTAACGCGTTACGTAACGGGCCCGTTTATCCTCAGCCACAAGTGACACAGAAGTGGTGCAGTTTGTTGGCTTGCAGGGCTTGCGTGTCAGCACACACAAGCGACGACTGGCGCCGTAACGCGTTACGTAACGAAGCAGTTTACACTCCCACAAGAAGTTATTATGTGGCGGCGACATCCACACGCCCCACATATAATCAACATGGAGGAAATAGTCACTGGCCTCCTCAAGAGATGGCTACCAGCGCTGCGTTCACAACGTATGGAAGCGTACATCGCGCAAGGGAAATTCGGAGGCTAACACTGCATATATACAATGGCCGACCAACATCAGTCGGGCCGCGGCCCCCGAGCTACCATCATCTAGCTCGGAGGAAGATCTTCCCCTTTGGGCTTCCTACAATCATATCAAATTAAAATGAAACAAGTCTCACCCGCAAGTGGCACAGAAGTGGCGTAGCTTGTTGGTTTGTAAAGCTTGCGTGTCCGCACACACGAGCGACAGACTGGCGCGGAACGCGCTCTGCAGCCGCGACACATACGCGCCTGCGTCTGTACCCCCTCCCCCTCCCGCTCCCGCGCCCTCTATACTGAGAGCCCTGTCAGAAACATATAATTTATAGATAAACATATATATTTTGCAAGATGTTTAAATCTAAAGAGAATTTTACTAGAAAAAAATCCACGCGGACCAGGCAGCAGACGGGACTGGAGCCGGCACCCTTCGAATGCACTGACCATTATGCTACCGCGGCCCTGATGCCCGTGTCGAATTTTCTCTAGCCTATATAACAGGGGTGATGACGGGGTACATTAAACGTAATTCTATTTAGTCCATCAGTTAGATGATCAAAAAATAATGGACACGTATTTTTTCTTTGGGAAAGCAACCAAAAAATGACAAAGTTATAGCGCGTCAAAGTTTGGGAGTAGGGGCTCGTGACGTCACTTTTCAGTGAATTTTCACTTATAAGTGTACTCAAACGTGACATCATGCGACTTTTCAAATCAATATATCTCTGCAATGTTTATATTATGTGAAAAAAGAAAAAAATACGTGTCCAATACTTTTTGATAATCTACCTGATAAACGAAGAAAAAAAAATTAGTCATCATCCCCATATAATAGTTATTTATTATACAAGAGTGGAAAGTTCCTTTTTAACCGCGTGCTCGATTTGGATGACCGAGCAAGCGAAGGATTCTAAAGTTGAATCACGAGCGCAGCGAGTGATTCTAAATTAGAATCCTGAGCGTCAGCGAGGGAAACAAACGAGCACAAGGTGAAAAATCTTTCCACTCGAGTGCAATACGTAACTTTTCATCCCACCTCAGCGAGGAAATGACAAAATGAAAAAGAAAACAATTTATAATGACAAAATATTTAAGCAATAAAACGTGAAAAACTAGAATGGCGCGAAGCACGCAAATAAAACAAAGAAACCAAGAAGGTTCCAAATTTAAATTTTTTCACAATTTAAAAAGTTCTAATCATAAATTTGGCACCATAGAGGTTACATTAAATAGGTTTAATGACGTTTTGAATTTACAATTATATTGAGTACTCATTATATGTGATGTTCTAAATTCAAATCTACTTTGCCGCTCAAGCGAATAAAATAGAATTTTCCAGCCAGATTTCGAAGCGCAAAATTACACTTTCCGAGGTGGTGGGATGAAAATAATATTATCAACTACGTTTTTGTTAAATTTGTGAAATATCTCAATATTCATATTACATATTCCAACTTAATTTTTTATACTGCTAAATAGCCTATTCCTTAAGTTAACAAAATTTTCGACCTATAACAGCGGCACGTATTGATAGCCGTTTTGACGTTTGTACCCACATGAAGTTTCATATTAATCAGTACCAAAAATTGAAAACGCTTATAACTGTTCTTCATTCTCATTAATGACGCGCACTTAGGCCGCGTCGTTCCATCTAAGTATAGTTAAATTTGACAATAGTCAAATAAATAGCACCTAAATGTGACAAATTGTCAATAAACCTATTAAGCTCCAATACGTCTGGCTCTTTCTGTAGATTGAAACTCATCATAGTACAATGTGAGGTCCCAAATTCATCAACATCAGCCTATTAATGTCCCCACTGCTGGGGCACAGGTCTTCCCTATGGATGGAATAGGGAGATTGGGCCATGACCCACCACGCGGGCCCAGGATTGGCGAGTGCTAACGACTGCAGATGCAGCCGGGACCAACGGCTTAACGTGCCTTCTGAAGCACGAAGATTTTTGGTTACCATGACCGACCACTGCGAAAGTTGCTTAACTTCTACGATCGCAGCCGAACGCGCTAACCACGTGTGCCATCGATCTCCTCACGCTCCTAACAAACATAAACTTTCAGATTTATAATTATTAGGATATTAATGGTGACTTTCAATGTTTAAATGTTTGCTATATTGTTATATGTTACGAACTTCAGTAAACGAATGGTCTCCCTTCGCTCGAGCTCCTCAGGTCCCTAATTCGTCGTAGGAGGGTGGATGGGGGAGGTTGCGAACACTCCCCCGAGAAGGGCTCCCCTGGAGGAAGCAGGGGAGCAAAGGCTGCGGGTCCTCAGAAGCGATACTCGATCCTGAGGCCCCGTACCATGCCTGATGGCGGCCATCGCTGGGGTTTCCTCTCCCTTCTGGGGAGGAGAGCCCCACATAACCACCATGTGGTATGCAATATAATGCATTTCCCCAGCGTATCAAAAAAAAAAGTCCCCAATTAAAATACGGCATTGGATATGTGTGTATTGTTAACTCACCCCTTAATAGCAAGCGTGAGTTCTTCGATCTGGTTGCGGAACAAGCTGTATTTACTGGTGAGTACTCCGAGTGAGTCGTTGCACTGAATCTTATCCTCCAGGCTGTGCGGAACCCCCAAGCCGGACGCTAATTTGGCACTGTACAGAGAAACAACCCGTGTTAACTATCAATAAAACCGTCAATAGGGTATTTTCCAAAGGACACCCGGCATTATGTGCCAAAGTTGCATACTTTTTTAATTTTTTTATCTGTGTTTCAAAATTGGAAAACGTAGTCTGGCAATATTTGTCATCAGCAGCTAGCTGTCAATGTCAAATACGTAGGTTTGTCAATAAAACCTCTATATATAGCTGGGTCGTCAAGAGAAATAACGGATAAAAAGGCAATCACAGCAGAGAACATTCACAATCACAGTACGCGGATGCGAAATGCGAATGATTTTTTTGTTTGTATTTTAGGATTGTCAAATTGACATTTGGTTTTTTTATTTAGAAAAAGCAAAGGAATCATGGTTTTACAGTCACTTGAGTAATATTTTGAAGTAAAATTCTGTCCCTTGAAGATTTAGGGTTTCCATATCAAAAAATATTAATCATTATATACCTTCTTTCCACGATTCACTAAAAATTAAGCAAATGTAGTTTTATGTAGCAAATAATTTTGGCTTTATTTTGAGACCAAATTCAACTGTATAAAAGTTTAGCATTTTTTCTATGAAAAGTGCCGGGTCTCCTTTTTGAAAACTGCTTATATTTAAAGATTGCTGCCGTCCTCAAACTTAAGTGCGGCTAAGTGACATGTGGTCGATTTTCAGTCTTAAATTGCATCGTTCACAGTTTTTCATTCTCTATCGATCTGTCTTTAACAAGTATTCGTATCTTTTATAGTTTAAGTCTAAAACTCGTCATGGGATGAATGCCTACAATATAGCAATAATTTTAAGTATACACTGCATTTTTTGGCCATATCTCAAGTTCGTTGTGTCATTTAGCCGCGTTTTAGTTAGAGGATGGTAGATTGGAACAAACTATTTAACAGAAAAATAAAAATAAATTATTATTTTTAAAGCATGTAACTGCTTGATGTTTAAATCTAAAGAAAATATAACTAGAAAAAATTCCACGCGGACCAGGCAGCATACGGGACTCGAACCCGCACCCTTCGCAATCCGGGCGAATGCACTGACCAATTATGCTACCGCGGCCCTCACGGACCGCGTCGAAACTCTCTCTAGCTATTCTTAAGCTGCAGGGCAGCGCCATCTCTTCGCATTATATATTTATTAAAATAAATTAATTAATGTCTTTTTTTCTCTATTAAACCAATTAAATTGGAATTTATTTTTAATGGTTTGAATTTACCCCCAAAACGCTCGGTTTGATGACGTCTACTGTGTGGTGTCAGCTTTGTGTATGCTATGATATCATCTGAAGGTCTGAAATTATTTCCGTTTTTTACGTTTGCAAAAAATTTTATAGCATAATACTTTGCAAATTTCTTCGCTTCTAATCCTGTTTTCTGTAACGGAGTGCTACAGATTTTTGTAGCATCAAAAATTATGTGTAAGTATTATGGGTACTGTCACAAATGTTCTCGAAGCGGAACCGCGATAGAGGTCGAGTAATGCGGCTCATTCTAAAATGAGCTTTATGCAGTGCGGCGTAAGGGAGAAAGTGCAACGACATCTGCACTTGTTTACAAGTTATGCGTGTTACCTGCGTAGGTATAAGTAGGTATTTGTACTCGCGGGTGCTAGCAAATTCTTAATTTAACAGGTACTTTCTAGAATGCGTCGATCGGCGTATATAAGCGCGATTGGCGCCGCGCAGAGACCGTTGATTTTCAACAGCGATTTCGGAGCGAATCCAAAGGCGATCAAAGTGCAACAAAAGTGTTCAAATGAGATTGTTTAGAGCAGTGTTTCCTAACCTTTCCAATACTGCTACCCCTGTAACCTATTAGGAAAACAGATTTTACCCCGATTTTAAAATGTTATCATCAGTCCAAGAAATTCCAATTTGGCCGCTACATCTTCGACTCTAATAATGTCATCATCAGGAGAAAATCTCGCCCCGCTTCCCACACTCAGCACCCCGCGGCGGGCTCGCTAGCCAGAAGGAGCGCATGCTCTATTTAGTAGTATTATTATATAGTATTTTCTTATTATTTAGATTTGACCAAATAATTAGGTTCTTTGTTACCCCCAAAGTATGGCTGATTTACCCCCCGAGGGGTAATTACCCCCAGGTTCGGAACCCAGGGTGTAGGGCGTCCCCTAACTATTGGCTTGAAAGGAGTTTGCTCAAATTGGCCCGAATGTACTATAAATATTGACATATACGGTAATTCTTGGCGTAATTTATACTTTATTTTACAGTCATTAGATTTTAACGGACACCTTTGTATAATATATTCATTTTAATAAGGACTTTTAATTTTACCGGTTTGGAAAACATACAAATCATTTTTAATGGCTATGGGTGTAGTAACATTCAGCCAAAGACTGATCGAAGTTGTTTATATATCATTAAAACAAATCTACTTTGTAAAGATTGTTTTTTTTTTTATTACACTGTGGTATTAATATCCACAACTATATTATCATTTTTACTACATGCAAATGTACTAAGACAATTATTATAGATGGTAGGCGACATCATAAAGTCTATTGCCATACATTTTTCGCCAAACACATTATAAGGTGTTATACACTAAAAATCTAAAATATGGTTATAATATAAACATAACAAAAATAATGAAGCTTAACTAACTAAATTAAAGAGAGTTTAAAAATTCTCTCTAATCTGTGGCTCATTCACAATCATTACACAGTTTCTGGCACAGAGTACCATATTATAACCGGAAATGCATAGATGATACCTGATTTTAAAAGTTACTCTTGTGCATTAACTTTATAAACAGGCAACTATCTGTTAATCTACCTGCCATTATATACCTGAATTTAATACGTAATTTCGGTACTTGGCTTGATTACCCTAGTTTACTATATAAATTATTTGTTTTTTATTATTTTAATACCTATGTACGAACATAACCTCAAAATCATTCAGTGTATATGGTTTATAGAAGTTCTCAGGGGTGACCGTCAATAATATTCATTTCTACAGTAATTTATATATAATTTCGAATCTAGGAAACAATTTTTCATGATTATTGGTCTTTAGGCCAAACATGTATGGAAGCTGAGCAATCTCCTATAACTAATAACATAAATTTTCTTTACTGCTAAACAAGAGCTCCTTAACTTATTACAATATCAATAATAACAGTAAAAATGATACATTGTAGGATTTACCTTTGAGTTTGAAATGAGCTCTGGAAAACTATGCTAGCTGCATTAATTAAAATATTTAGTCTATAATAGTTTAATTTAAACTATGCAGTGTATTGACAATAATAATCAACAACACGGAACATAAAGTTCATATAGTAGTTCACTGACAAGTGATATGTACAGATAACTTAGGTTTGTATAAACATTATAAGTGAACATTGAAGAAACATGTTATACAATAAATAAAACTAGTTTATACGGGTTAATGCACGAAACTTTATTTATTTATTGACGTTTCGCAGCCTTTTCAGGTCTGCATCGTCAGAATAACCTGAAAAGGCTGCGAAACGTCAATAAATAAATAAAGTTTCGTGCATTAACCCGTATAAACTAGTTTTATTTAATGAGTGATGTGCGTGAAAACCTAAGAAACAAATAACATGTTATACAACGGAATATTTACCAAACATTTTACAATCATAAAAAAAATATATACATATAAAAAAATTAACACATGTACATGTTCTGCCAAATTAAAAAAAATCCTAACATTAAAATAAATTACATATTTTTAAAAGCTATTATTAGCTATGAATGCATAATACCCCACTAATTTTCTCCTTCACCAATATCTAGTAAAAAATTATATTTTACGTTCATATGTACGTCTTCTTTGGCCATCAATGTTGACAAGGTAATAAGTGCCAGGAAACAGTACATCTATTGACCCTGTTGGTTGGTAGGGGGCTGTATGGCAGTTCTTTGTACGGTTTTCCATAATTTCTGAAAATACTTTTGGATCAACACACTCCCTTTTTTCCAGTAAAGAAACTGTCTTATGCAATGAATTGATTAATGTTGCCAGCTTTGAGCCTGCACTCATGTCGTTGCAAATGCTCATTGAATACATAGTGGAAGCTAATCCAGAGCCATAAGAAAACAAACCAAACTTTTTTCCAATTAATTGCTCTGGAGATTTACTGATTAAATATGATACCAGGCCCCCATACAATGATGGAGTATACATATTCCCTACATTTCTAGCTATATGAAGCGATGGTTTTGTTTTATCATCAAACAATTGTTGGCTGTATGTCATGAAAGCCTTTTCAACATCTCTATCAAAGTATGTGTCTTTTAATTTATAATTACAGAATTCAGACATTCCAGGAAACAACTTCTCAAGGTCCTCAGATTGACAATTTAAGAAATCATTAAAAGTAATTCTTGCCAATGATTTTTGTACTAATTTACAATAAGGTGAATGAAACAACATTCCATCCAAACTCAATAATCCCTTGAAATTAGGGTCATCCTTTCTCATTTTCTTACAAAACAAATTGTAACAATTATCCAGTGCAGTTAGGTAGCATATACTGGATAGTTTCCCATCAACATAAGGAAATTCTGACGCTAGGTCAGGTTTGTAGAAGTCATAAGTGTGTGTCATGTATGAAGCTCTTACCCCTTTGTCGAATACTAGTGGTGCATTAGGGCCAACAAGCATTGCTACTGCCCCAGCCCCTCCTGTGGGTCTAGCAGGCCCCTTACCATAAATTGCAATGTCTCCTGCCACGACAATAGCCTTCCTACCATCCCATGATGAAGACTCAACCCAGTTTATTGCATTGAACAGTGCAGCTGTGCCTCCATAGCAAGCATTAGTAGTATCAATACCTTCTATGTCTGTAGCACCAGCTTTGGCAAATAAGGTCATTAGAAATGTCTTAACACTCTTACTTTTATCTATTATAGTTTCAGTGCCAACCTCCAAACGTCCAATATCATGTAAATTTATATTATTCTTTTCGATAAGCCTATGTAATGCTGTAAGACAGAGGGAATTGATGTCTTCCCTGTCAGAACAGAACCCCATTTTGTGTTGTCCAAGTCCAACTGTATATTTCCCAGAGGACACTTCATCGAATTTCTCCAGCTCCGCCTGGCTGACGTACTGTGAAGGAAAGTATAATTCCATGGCAAGTATGCCCACATTCTCTACACTAGTACCCATACTGGGGTGTAACTTTTCCGAAATAGGTTGTGTAGAAAAACTTTGGTATGACGTGCGATACCTTTATGTTGAAGCGCGACGTGTTAACGGCACAGATACGGATACGGACACTGAGGACTCGTCTGACTAACTCCGACGTTAGCAATCCCGATTACCGGTACAACATTGACCCACACACTTGAACCAGCTTTCTTTCACTTGTTAATGAATGAATACTCAATGAAGATTAACTTACGGTGGCTGAATAGGAACTGACTGTATCAAGGGTGACAAGTGAATGCTCACCACGACCCTTGTATACAGTGTACATAATATTATCTATTGTTAAATGAGTCAAACATTAACTCAGTAAGTTTAACAGTACAAATAGGATGCACACCATTATAATACTATCTATTGTCTTAATGAATGTTAACGATCTTGGGAATAACAAATATTCCATTAGGATGAAAACAAATTGATAATGAAAGTTAACGTTCATGAGACTGGTAAACAATTCATTTCAATATACGAGTAACAACAAAGAAATCATAATACAATTGAATGATAAAATATTAAATATAGGGACTATGGTCCACAGGTCCATTACAGAGGTATCAAACTGAAATTCATATTTAATACTCAGGTCTACTGTCCCTTGGAGCTGTAAAAAAATCAAACTTCTAAGCCAAAGCAATCAAAAGATGCAGCCGTTTATGCCGCAAATTTTTGAAACTCGCACGGGAATCAAAACCTACAGGGTAAACCTAGAAAGTATTATATATATATATAGTACAGATAAAGGAAACATTGCGAAAACCGTAAATTTTTAGTTACATCATATAACAAAAAATATTTTTTAATAATTATTAAAATATACCTTCAGGTTTGTACGGAACTTTTTGTGCGCGAGTCCGACTCGCACTTGGCCGCTTTTTTTCTTTTAATAAGCTTTTTTTTGAATCAATATAACTTTAGAATATTAAATTTTGCCCAGTATTTTACTTTTTTTAGTATTTTTTATGAATAAATATTTCGAAAAAAACCTAAGAAGGAAAACATAACAAAAGAAATAAAATACACATAGCTGGTAACAAATAAAGCCGAGGCACGGTAATATTATCTATACAGTATTGTGACTCCGCCCTGTTCTTGAAAATAAATGCCTACACCGAACGCTAGGTTGGCACGCGGTAGGGCCGCCAGCCTACAGTATTTTATGTAGTTTTGTTTTTAACGTGAGTGTAGGTAGATTACTCGTTTGTCTCTTTTTTCATCCTAACCACTTATTTATATATTATTCCAGATATTTTGCCCGGTGGAAAAACCGAAATACCTAAATATTAGAAACAAATAACGTACTAGTAGATAGGTATATAAAAAATATTCTATAAAGGTAAGACACCTTTCCAATATTTCAGGTAATTTAAAAAATGATATCTCTGGGTGTGTTATTCAAGAGTTCAAGCAACCAAAAACAGCAATTGTGCTGTTGTACGATATTGATCGTCGTTTGTTCTTTTCCATACTAAATTATGTAGGTATCTACTTAATTAAATCAAATATTTACAATACAAAACGCATGTTTAAGCACGGCTAACTGCATAAAAACAATTCTGACCGTTCGGTCGTCGTTGCGGCGCGGCGGCGCATTCGCGACTGGGTGCACGCCGAGAGCACATCGAACTCGAGTGGCGTAGGTATGACTCGCTTTCCGACCGTTTGTATGAAGATAGAATACTGTATGATATTATTACCGTGGTCGAGGGCAGTTGAAAGACTTTTACGTGTTCACATTTTTTAGGGTTCCGTAGTCCTGACAAGGAACCCTTATAGTTTCGTCAAGTCCGTCTGTCCATCCTGCATGGAGACTATTAGCACTGTACAGAGATCTGTAATTTTGTAGAGATATGTAATGGACTTATATGGTTCACGCCGACAAAATGGTAGAATAAAATTTAAAAAAAATATTATTTTTAGGGTAGCTCTCCTACATGTAACCTTTTTTTTCATCATCTACCCCATCGTGTGGGTTCTCGTTGAATAGGTCCTTAGGGGTTCGTAAAACTATTTTTCGATTTAGGAATCCGTTTGCGAAAAATTTACTTTTGAAGTGATAATTTTTGTTCGTGTAGGGCAGTGTTTCCTAACCTTTCCAATACTGCTACCCCTGTAACCTATTAGGAATACAGATTTTACCCCGACTTTAAAATGTTATCATCAGTCCAAGAAATTCCAATTTGGCCGCTATATCTTCGCTCTAATAATGTCATCATCAGGAGAAAATCTCGCCCCGCTTCCCACACTCAGCACCCCGCGGCGGGCTCGCTAGCCAGAAGGAGCGCATGCTCTATTTAGTAGTATTATTATATAGTATTTTCTTATTATTTAGATTTGACCAAATAATTAGGTTCTTTGTTACCCCCAAAGTATGGCTGATGAACCTGGGGGTTATTACACCTCGGGGGGTAACCCCGAGGGGTAATTACCCCCAGGTTCGGAACCCAGGGTTTAGAGACTTGTATAGTGAAATACAGTGTTTAATGAGTGTTTTGAATGGTGAATAAAGAACTGTCAAGCGTGAGCTGGCATATAATTTCGAACCCCATCCCGACACGTAACAGTACTATAAATTTATCCCGAACGTAAAAAAAGTTAATAATTTGACCATCTGAAGGACAATCAAAGGTTAAAGGTTAGGTTATTACATTGCAGACACAAAGTTGACGTCGAGAAGAAAAAAGTAAATTATACGTTTTTCTTTTCTCAATCAACCAAACAATTACAAAGATAAAGCGCGCCAAAGTTTTCAAAGGGGCTCGTGACGTCACTTCTAACAACTGTACAGCAAGCATGTTCTGCCGCATGAAAAAACTGCATACAACGCAACGCAAGCACCATACCTAACATTTCGTTGTAGTTTTGGGAAAGGTAAACTAACACACTATGTACTTTATTGCATGTTTTTCTACAAGTTAAGATATGACGTTTTGCTTATTCACGCTTTAGTCGTTTTTTGGTCCGGCTTTACCTTTCTTTTTTTTCAACCTACGCTACTGCAACACAGGTAATGTCACTTTTGTCTCTGAGATTAAAGAACAGACTATATATAATGATAAGTCAATAGGTCCATTGTTGTAAAGCAAAGAAAATGCGTTACCACTGCATATTTTTTTTATATTATATTATTACTAGCTGTACCAGCGAACTTCGTACCGCCATAAAAAAATAGGGGTTGGTGGTAGAAGGGTGAAAATTTAGGATTGTATATTATATTTTTTTATAAAAACAAAAAAAATTGTTCAAAAAATAAAAATAAAATGTTAGGGCTGGACAGCTCTTATCACTTAGGGGTATGAAAAATAGATAGTAGCCGATTCTCAGACCTACTGAATGTGCATATAAAATTTCATAAAATCGGAGGAGTATGGTAACTAACATTGTGACACGAGAATTTTATATATAACATTATTGTCTGAAATTATTGACAATATTAGTATTATTATGATTAGTGTATTTTAAAATTATTTATGTAATTGAATACTTAGTTCATGATTTGTAAAGATATCATCCATGATTGGTCGAAATCAATTAATTTGAATTCAATAATCAACCTTCTTTAGTTGCTGAAAATAAAAACATAACTGTCCTCTTAGAAGTCGGTAAACAACATATAAACACAGATCATCTCACCAATAACTGGAGAACACAGTCCACAGCCCCTCGAACGCTTCTATGACAACCATTTCGCCGTCCCTCTCGTCGCTCGCCGTCTCGCTCTCACACTGGCGCAGGAGTCTCTCCACCGTGAGCTTAGCCAGATCCATATACTCCGGTATTATCTGACACTTTCTGGCTATCTCCAAGCAAAGCTCCTTGAAGTTCGCCACTTCCGATTGTGTTAATGATTTGGGACCTAAAAGAATCACATAGTTAAGCGATGGAAAATGTCATCATAATCCTATTAATATTTTTAAAAGTAAACTGCTGTCCCCGTAGCCTGAACACCATAATTTACATTATAAAAATAAAATAAAATAAAATAGCCTTTATTGCTGTTTCTTTTTACAAAAAAAAAACTATGCCTACTTGCAAAAACTAAATATACATTCTAATTTGTATTAAAGTGATCGGCAACTGGTTGCTTATGTTGAACAGCTTTTCTGTCGACAAAGGCCTCCTCTAAAGATTTCCACGTATTTCTGTCTCTTGCTAATCGGCTCCATGCTGGGCCAGCTATTTTCCGCAAGTCGTCTTCCCATCTTTTGTTTTGTCTGCCTCTACTTCTTTTTCCATCCCTTGGGTACCATTCTGTTACTAACCTACTCCATTTTTTCTATACTTTCTCTCGACATATGTCCCGTCCAACGCCATTTGAGCTGTCTGTAGGCTGTGTGTGCATTTTTAAATTTGGTCTTTTTCTTAATTATTTGTAATTTTACTCTATTTCCCTCCTTTTTATACCCAAGATGCTTCTTTCCATTGAATTTTGGCAGACTTTTAACTTGTCCTCTTGTAACTCTGTTAACGCCCATGTCTGGCACACGTATAGTAAGCATGACATAATGCATATTTCGTATACTTTCTTCTTTGCTGTCATTGGCATGTCTTTATCCTTGAATATTTCTTTAAGAGACCAAAACTTTTTCCAAGTATTAGTTATTCTTCGTTCTACTTTTTTATTCATACTTCCATCTGTAGATATTAGTTGGCCCAAGTATATATATTCTTTTACATATTCTATTTGTTCGTTATTTACTATAATCAGTTCGTTGGGTTCTGTCTGTTGGAAATTCGTCATAATTTTGGTTTTCGTTAGGTTCATTGTCAGGCCGGCCTTTTCGCTTTCGTCGGATAGTTGCTGTAACATTATTTCCAGAGTTCTTGCGTCCTCTGAAAATAGAATCAAATCGTCTGCGAAGCGTAGGTGATTAAGATTTTCGCCATTTATATTGAGGCCATTTTTGGTCCAGTTCAGATTTCTAAATATCATTTCCAGCACCGCTGAAAATATTTTAGGTGATATCGGATCTCCTTGGCGTACACCTCTTTCAATAGGAAATTCACTGCCCGTAGATTCAAGTTTAACTTTTGCTGTACTCGCTGTGTATACATTTTTAATTATTCGTATGTATTTTTGTTGAACCCCTTGTCTGTTCAGAGCGTCCCATATATAGTCATGTTCCAATGTATCGAACGCTTTGTTGAAGTCTACAAACCCTATGTAATATTTTTTATTATATTCACTATATTTTTGTAGAATTTGTCTGAGCGTGTGTATGTGATCTATAGTAGAGAATTTGCTTCGGAAACCAGCTTGTTCCTTAGGTTGGTTTTCATCCAGTGTATTGGTGATTCTGTTAAGTATGAATTTTGAAAATATTTTGTAAATATTGGACATTAAACTGATTGGCCTGTAGTTCCCTATATCGCCCTTGTCTCCCTTCTTATGCAGCAGTATGATTGTCGATTTGGTCCAATCTTCCGGGATGGTTTCTGTTTCGAGGATTTCATTAAACAAATCTGTAAGTCTAAGGGCCATCACTGGTAATGTAGTTTTTAACAGTTCGTTTGTAATTAAATCTGATCCAGGCGCCTTATCTACTTTTTGGGATTCGATAGATTTTATTGTTTCTTCCTTCAGAATTGGCTTCATCTCCTCTTTATTTGCTGAGTTATATTCCTCTATTACTTGTTCACCTTTACGACTTTGATATAGTTTTTTGTAGTAATCCGTTGCAATTCCTAATATTTCTGATCGTTTGCTGGTCTTCCCCCTGTCTTTATTTGTCATGCTTGGAATCCAGTCCTTTTTGCAGTGTAATTCTTTTAATGCCTTCCTTATTCCTCTTGATTTCTCTATATGTTTTCTTAATGTTGTTAACCCTTTTGCTTTTCGTTCTTTCCTCAGTTGTTTACTAATTTCCTTACTTAAATCTGCTATTTTTTGACAGTTATTATTATTATTTTTTCCTTGCTGTATAAGTTCCTTCCGTTCTTGTAATAATTGCTTGCTTTTCGATGATATCTCTGTTTTACTAATCATATTTACTCTTTTAGTTTCTAACTTTAATTGTTGGAGAAGCTTGGTGTATTTTTCTTGAGTCGATATACATTCTTTTTCTTTTTCCCCATTTTGCAAGGATATGTCGAGGTTTTTAAGAAGTAGATCAGTATCACCGGTGCATTCAATAGCTTTCATATTGATGTGGAATTTTCGTGCTCTTTTAGCACGTAACCCTGATAATTTTGCTCGAACTATTCTATGATCGGAGTTAAAATTAAAATCATTTAAGACAGATAGATCCTCAAAAACTTTTACATTGTTAGACATTATATAGTCGATCTCGTTTTTATACCGGCCATTAGGAGATATCCAAGTCCATTTCTTTGATGGTTTCTTTTTGTAAAAGCTGTTTAAGATGCTTAATTTATTTACAATAGCAAAAGATACTACCCGAGATCCGTTTTTACTTCTATTGCCAAATCCATGAATTCGTATGGTATATTCTTCTCCATTTTTCTGTTTAATTTACATTATATCATGTTAAATAAAACTAGTTTTTACGAGTTATTTGTACTGAATTTATTTATTTATTGAATGCGAGGATTATTCCGACGACGCTATCCTGAAAAGGTAAAAACTAGTTTTATTTAATGAGTGATGTGCGTGGAAACCTAAGAAACAAATATTATATCAACTTTTTTATCGCGTCTAACTGTCCAACTCCATAGTAATTTGACAGTTGAACGTGATAAAAACGCGTTATATATCATATCACGATGCTCATTCTAGGAGAGGGATCTATTTTTTTATGATATTGTTTTGTTATTTGTTTTTTTTTCTATTATTTTTATTGTATTGGGCAATGCTGAGTACGCCTAGAATAGGCATTGTATATCGGAACATGCCTCTTTTAATGTTACGACTGAGTGTTGTATGTGTGTATGTGCTGTTTAGATACCCTAATCTATACTTATAATAAATCTGTAGAGATGTCAATTCTGTACATGAAATATATTTTTAAAATAACTATCAGGGGGTGATTAGTGATCGATACTGATGCCAAAAATGCAATCAGTAAAATTTTTGTCTGTCTGTCTGTCTGTCTGTGTGTGTTCCTTATAGAAACAAAAACTATTCAACGGATTTTAACGAAACTTGGTACAATTATTCTTCATACTCCTGGGCAGGTTATAGTATACTTTTCATCATGCTACAATCAATAGCAGCAGAGTAGTGAAGGGAAATGTTGGGAAAACGGGAGAAGTTACTCCATTTTTTAAGCTTCCGTCGCGGGTGCAGCCTTGAATGATTAAAGTTACATAGAAATCATGTATGACGGAAATATTCTACATAAAATTGTCTAAAAAATATCCCGCAACAGCATATGTCTATCTTTTATGGTTGACTCACAATAACATGTGTAATTATATAAATAACGTCATTCTTTATAGCACAAGCCTGAGAACAAAAACTATAGTTTACACTACAGCTCTACACCGAAGCGAAGCGAGAGCGGGCCACTAGTAATAAATAAATTAATAAACCTAATTTGTCCCTATTGCTGAGCAAAAGACTTACTTAAGGACGGAACTATTTATTTATTTATTTAACGGATAGTTAACACCTTACTTTATAGATTGGATTTACAATCAATAATTTACAATTTGAAAGCCAATCTATCCACATATTACAATAAGGTTTCAAACAAACCGACGAGCTTAAAAAAGAAAATAAGAAATAAAACAAAACAAAGCAGACTTTATGTTCTTAGGGGAATATTAGATGTTTATTGATTTATTTTCAGTACCTAACATATATTTTTTAACTTTAAATGTACTTACTTTAAATAATATGTGAAATATACAGGGCGTCCCACGGCTACCTCACATGGAGGGAAATTATATTAAATATTGAAGATAAAATATTTTACTGAAAGAAGGCATCATTTTATTTTTAATAATAACTAGAACTGCATTCACAGTTTTTTTTTTAATCGCCTGCTTCAACTAGGAATCAAACTCGTAAAATTATGTAAAAAAAACATGACTTATTTTATGATGATGTCTCATTGTTTGTGTCAAAATAAATATATTTTCTTTCTTTCTTTACGTTAATGAATATAAATGATTATAATTATTATTATTACATTGCACCAGTAGGAAGATAAATAAAAAAACTCACTCTTATCCTTAAGGCTTCTGTAAGCGTAACTGAGATCCTTGATGAGATGCTCTATCCTCGGGAAGACTTCGTTGAAGACCGCTATCCAATGCTTCAATAGACATTCCAGCACATCGCATAACGTCCAAGGTGGAGGCTTGAATAACACGTGCTCCCATAGGTTGTTGTATTTCGCACGCATCTCGTTCTGTCAGACAAATAAAATAGTTATTTATGATATTAATAAATATAATAATTATTTCCAGCACTCACACCAATTAGCCTAGCCCAAAGTAAGCACAATAAGGCTTGTGTTATGGGATACTAGGGTAACAGATAGAATACATATACGGTACATATATAAGTATATTTTTTATAGAAATACATATTAAAAATATTCATGACTGAAGTACATATGCTCGTATTCATTACACAAACATCTGCCCCCACCGGCTGTAAGCCTTGTGTTATGGGATACTAGGGTAATGGATAGAATAAATGACAATGACATTTCGCTCTTGCGAACTATTCGAATTCGATATTGGTTCGTGCTAAGGGTACTACTCAGTTTTATTTTACAGGTGGCTAAGAAACTTTTTTTTTATGTTAAATAGGCAAGGCGTTTGACCACAATCTTGCCTGATGGAAAGCGATGATGAGGCCTAGGGTGGTACACACCTGCCTGGTCATTCTGTATGTGATGGGAAATATCAATAGAATAGTATATTACTTTTTTTAAATGTACACTTTTTCCTGTTATATATATGTGCATGCAGTGTTGCCCTTTAATTGGTTAGCACATTTAGCTTTATTTATAGTCGATAAGTTATATTGTATGCTTCTATGTAGCAACCGTTGGCTGACCTAAATAAATAAATAATAAATAAGAAAATGAATTTATTAATTGTTCATTATGGAAATAAAGAGATATATGATATAATGAATTTATTAATTGTTCATTATGGAAATATTATTATTATCTAATATATAAAATTCTCGTGTCGCTGTGTTTGTGGTTAAACTCCTCCAAAACGGCTTTCCCGATTCTCATGAAAATTTGTGTGCATATTGGGTAGGTCTGAGAATCGGACAACATCTATTTTTCATCCCCCTAAACGTTAAGGGTAATCCAACCCTAATTTTTTTTTTCAATTTTAGATATATTTTTTTTTATGATACAGCATGTAACGTGTTAAAAACGTCACATGGATCTCCTTCGCTCGAAGAGCGAGATAGAAGATTTTTTTGGTTGTCTCTCTGGTCGTTTTTATCTCGCGCCCATTTTCTGTAATCTGTGCACTTTTGAATAATTATGTTGCTAACTTTATCGAGCAGTAGGCTGAATGGACGTTGTTCCCTTTGCCTACCGCCAAGACGAACTTAAGAAAAGAACTGTCACTTCACTTCACGACCAAAATTTTTACGAGAAACATGTAAGAATCGTAATCGTAATTTTTCACATGATAATTCATTAGATTGTCAATTATTTTTTAATGGTAAGTGTTTTTCCAAATTCGAAAAGTGTTTTAATTCACATATTTCAATGATTTATCTTAGAATACATTCCTTTTCAGATGAAACATTTTACATCATCATACAAAATGGCGTTGACCATGCTTTAAGCTTAATTTAATTGAAAAAAACGGTAAGAACCTTAGAGATTCCCTTAGATTTACATTTTTCCTTTGTTGTGAGCCATGTGCTAATCTGAGGAATGTTCGTTTTCAGCGAAAAGCGTTTTTTTTTTATATATGGAATTTTATTTGGATATCGTATCCAAATCACGATGTTTCCCGTGATGTGGAGGTGAACCCATGGGATGTAACAACGGCCATCCCTTACATATTTGCAACACCAGACATAACTCCAAAGATGCAGCAAAGTCGGTAATATTCAAATTTATGGTTGTACCAGCACCCATATTAAAGGTAAATTTTCATTTAATTCTTGGTAGAGTCATAGTGTAGAATAGTTTCTAAATTTAGCAGTAACCCTTTTGGACGTAAGTAATTTTGCAGTAAATTTAAATAAATTACAAACCCAAAATGAACATGGATTTGCATTAGGCTCCCCTCGCGATTAATAGTCCCTTGCTTTCCCGGCTAATATGGTATAATAATGTGGTAGGTCTGGCGCCCGAGTATTCTATTTAATTAATTTCGGCCTGTCCATTTCTCTCAAACTTTTTTATTTTTTAATATTACAAGCATTAGTAAATACATATTACCCTGAATTTTGAACCCTTTACAATCAACCCCTATTTTTATGGCGGTACAAAGTTCGCTGGGTCAGCTAGTTATTAAATAAAAAATGAAATAGTGGGCTCACAATGACACCTACCTCTAGTATTGTAGCCAGCAGATGATATATAGCGGCGTGGTATCGTTGCAGACTGGAGCCCGCGTGGTTTCCTTCCGGTCTGCTGGTTAGTAAGGGCCTCAGTTCCGCCAGCGATAAACTCCTTAGACCGTTTATCACCGCTTTGTTGCACAAGTTCTTGTCGTTCGACACCAATATCTGAATATTATTAGTAAAAAGAAAGAATATTTGTTTCTTAGGTTTTCACGCACATCACTCATTAAATAAAACTAGTTTTTACGGGTTAATGCACGAAAACTTTATTTATTTATTGACGTTTCGTAGTCTTTACAGGCTACGTCGTCAGAATAAAACTTTTATTGAATTTGTCGAGCTACCTTCGAAAGACTTTTATTAAGCGTTTGGTTATTTCATTGTTCGATTTTTAAGTTTTATTGTCTATGTATGAATTTATTATTTAATTTACTTAATAAAGTATTTTATTTAAAATTCTTGTTTGTAATTTTGAGTTTATTTATTTGACCCTAACTACCGTAAACTACCACCGGTTCCAAAATTGGGAGACCTTCCTGAGAAGAACCGGCGAAACAAACTCAAGAGAGGCTTTCTATCTCCTTCTTATGTTAAATTATGCAAACAAAAAGAACTAATAGTCTCTGATGGTCTTGCAGTGTGTGCTCGGGGTTGGGAAAAAAAGAAAGAAATTTAATGGAATTCAGAAAATTAATATATAAGAAAGCGTGATTTCCCTCCGGCCTGCTTAAATGCGCCGATAGTAAAAAGCTCGCGTATTATATGTGGTGATGGACATAGTGCTGTCTCACTCAAAATGCAGCCAGCTGTCACCGTTTTCAAGCAAACCTAAAGCCTTGCAAGAAGACTGATAAGTAGGGTGTACTAAATCATTTACTGTTTTTAACGCTTCAAATGAAGTGGGGCCTCGAATTGAAAACACTTTGTATTTTAGGGTGTGTTGTATACACTCTGCCCAGAGCATGTTCTTTTTAATGCCTTTAATGTTCTCTAGTAAAAATTGAAACTTTCGATTTAATATAAAAGCGCGTTAAAATTAATCCATATAAAAAAAAATACATGGTCCGATCTCCCTATTCCATCGATATGGGAATACCTGTGCCCCTGCAGTGGGGACATTAGTAGGCTGATGATGATTAGAGTAAAAAAATAACAGTTAATACAACGACTAACAGAATTAAACAAATGAATCAATTTCAGTTTAACCACACTGATATATCTATCCACAATGTTGGTGAAAATATTTAATGCGCAGTTGCATTTCAATAAAGCTCTTATTACCTTGTATTAAGTATGATATTCTTATGTTTAGAATGATTATTACTTCATAGGATTTTTTTTTTAATTTAAATAAGTATATTTTTTTATTTTCTTTTTTCTGTTAAACACGTTATATGTCAGTGCATAATTAACTACTTCAACCGATAAGACATTATCAAACTGAACTCACCACAGACTTGCCCCTTTCCGATTGCTGCAGACAGCAGTTAAGGATTTCATCATCGGGCGACTCGCAAGGATAGATGTGAGAATTAGAGTCACGCAGCGACTGCCCTATGTAACAAATAATAACAAAAATTTTATAACTTAGCACAACCAACGATATCAAAATACCCTAGATACACCAACACGAACATAATCCTGGCCGAAACCTGACCAAAAGGTACATTGGACGATCCACGGAGCTCCGTAAGGTGATCGCGTTGTCTAAACAATATAAGGCATTACTTAAACATTGAAAGTCACCTATAATGCATACTGCGTAAGGTCTTTATTAAAACGCATGCGTCAAATAGTTATGGCAGTTCGAAATGCAAGCTCGTAAAATTTTACGACTTATTGCTATATGCGGAAGATTAAAAACCTTATTTCTTTGACTCTACGCGCAATTCTGAATGCGCTGTTAGCAAAATAGCAATTATGGATCGTGAGGAAGAGACGGCTATATTACCGACCATGCATATGAATATCACAAATATTTTCTATTAAATCAGTTTATAGTAAGTATTACAACAAAATTTGCTTCAAATGCGTTAAATTAACAAACATAGATTAGATACTTGTCGAAAAAACGTCACTTAACGTACTATAAGTATTATTTTCTCATTTTTTACGGAGCTCTGCAGCATCTTGACTTTTCAACAGTCCGCATGTGACTTCAAGCACTTCTTGATTGGGACACATTTTGAGCGCATGTGGTGTATCTAGGGTATTTAATATCGTTGAGCACAATTCTCAAATTCATAAGTCGTTGTACAGTGAAAACCCAGTAAATATCAATGAGGGCTATCGCGTATGAATCCGCCGCTAGAGGCGCTAGTGTAGCGTGAGGTCTCCGAAATGTCAAATGTTATTGCTTGTTGGTTTACTACGCGGGTTTATTTCTTATTAAAATAATGTTGTGAATAATTGGTAACAATTCGGCTGAATTATGGCAAATATCAGTTATGTGGCAATGAATGTCAGTTATTAAAAATTTGAGCTTAGAAAAATGATTATGTTCCCATTTTTTCCGAATAAAACGGAACTGCGCGTCACTGTGGCATGGCCTATTATGTTTAGGATATGGTTCTTTTGTGTTAAAATACGATCTAAATGTAACCTTTGATTTCATGTGCGTATTAATAAACTTTAAAAGTTACAATTTAGGACCTCACTCAACAGTGGCGCCATCTGGTGAGACAGAAAACGGTAGCCCTCATTGAATCAGTTTTTTGTCTGCAAAAATCCACGAAAGATTTTCCATTAATCCATTAAAGTGACAATAATTTCTACACACAATGAATTAGTGGAACACATTAACGAAATACTGAATCAAAAATGTTGTAAAAAAATTGCAAGCATTGTGAAAGGTAAGGATAGTTGATAAAAACCAAGCCTTAGTAATAACAACTTAGGTACCTACCAAATGTTTAATGCTTAAGAGCCCTTTTCACATTTTTTGCAAAAAATCATAATTTTTGAGCGCCTCGTTTACCCCCTTAGAAAAGATTTTGACTATTTCAGAAGTAAACAGTAGAATTATTCTTCCTATTGAAAGTTAATGTAGAATCTTTGCAAATAATATTCTCCTTTTTTTGTACTGATCGTTCTACTGCAGCTAGTTTACAGAAAAAAACATAATATGCACAACTTCAAACGCCTGAATCACTTAAATAATGTTCAATAAATTAGATCAAATTAATTACTACGACATCAGAAATATGTTTTTGTTGTAACATAATGTATTAGAATTTTGATTTTCCATCTCATTAATTATCAAAAAATACATCTAACCTTCGTGGGTTTTCCCAAAAAATAATGCAGGTTTACCTCGCATTTTGATATTGAATTAAATAGAATTACTATCAAAAATTTTCATAAAACTAATCTACCATTATTGAACTACTGAAATATGTATATATTTTTATAATAAGTTCATTAATAATTATTTTATAAGACTCGAAACATCACCCGTTAAATGTAATATATACTAGTGTAAATCTACTTATGCGCCGATCAGTACGGCAGTGGCGCAATTTTGTATAAGGACTCTTAACAATTCAGGTATTGTAAAATACTGGGCAAAATTAAATATAAAAACTGAGTCAATTTGTGTTATCAAATAATTTCGATTTACTGCTTATTCACTGTACAATGACGATTTACACTTGTGAAAACATTAAAATACCTTTGATACGTGTGTTTTCCGGCAAGGATTTGTACAAGTAGTCCATAGCAGCCTTCGCTCTCTTACATATGGCCCCATTCCCATTATTATTGTCCTTTAACCTGTCAAGTTCATTTATGACCCGCCATGGAACCAACAAGTTTGGTTGTTCACTATAACCTGTATTAAACATTTATAAAAGATTGTTAGAAGTTACAGACTTTAAATAAAATTTTAATTTAATCAGTCCTTTACTTTAATTCAATGAAATATTTTGTTGAATTAACTTACAATGCTAAGATAATACTTAAAAGGCAGAAGTTAAATTCAACCGTGTAAAATTATTTCAATCAGTACCCCTAGCATGAACCAATAACAAATTTGAATAGTTTGCGAGTGCTAAATGTCAATGTCAAATTTTGTATGGAAACTTGAACAGCAGGGCCACAAAGTACGTAACGAGAACTAAAATTCAGTACAGATTTGACAATGACATTTGTCTGAAATGTCATTGTCAAATCTGTACTGAATTTTAGTTCTCGTTACGTACTTTGTGCTAAGGGTACAGTATCTAGTTGTGACTGAAACAAAAATTCAATGATTCGCAATACAGACCTTTAATGTGAGAATTCAAAACGTCTTTGATAACATCAAGCTCATGTATGAAGATGTTTGTATCCACAACTAAAAGTAACTGTTCTTTACTATCTACTGTACACATAGTTTCTTTTACACATTGTACTGGAGGTGCTTTCTGGATGACCTGGAAATATAAATGAAATTACTTAGAGCACCCATCAGACCTGGAGGCCTACTTTAATTCAACGAAAAACGAAATGTCGATCAAAACTTCACACTTTTCTTACTATAAATTGAGGTATAGATTTTCTTAGCCTACTCAAAGAAAGCTTCAATTTGATAGTTTATTGTTCAAATTAAGTATAATCTTAAATTTACGATATTAAATTTTGTTTGCACTTCGTTATTGAAAATTCGTTTCAGAGAAAGAGGACAGACCCCTGGCTTATTATTACTATTTAGCTTTATCCCACATTAGTGGGCCTCGAGGGTTCGTTGCTCTTTGTCGGTGGCAACACCAATCCATTTTTTCCCACAGCATGTCTGATGGCCGGGCCTAACTTACACTATATTTACTTTCAGATTATTGTAAAATTTAAATATATTCACACTCTTTGTTGTTGGCAACACCAATCCATTTTTTCCCACAGCATGTCTGATGGCCGGGCCTAACTTACACTATATTTACTTTTAGATTATTGTAAAATTTAAATATATTCACAGATATGAACTACTGTATCGTGACAACATAACAAACATAATATTGTTAAAGAAATGTTAATAAATTTTTAACAGCTGTAACTACTGTTAAAAAGCTAAATATCCCTACTAATATAGGAGAAAATTTTCAACATAAATGTACAATAAATGTGGATAACTTTATAGCTCATCAAAAAAGATTACTTTTTTTTCAAAGAATATTTTAGTAAGAACACAATGCAACTTACTTGTTTATTAAAATCCACATCCATAGCTTCAATTGTATTTTCTTCAACTATGCTATCATTAGTGCTACATAAAAAAGAACTAGAATCAGATGATGCTTCATTACTCAATCTAGTTCTTAATGCTTCCATACGATCTTTAGCAGAGGTAAAAGTTTTAACAGGTGTTTCATTGTTTACAGATCCTTTATAAGAAAGTTTTGACTTTATAGCTGACACAAGTTTACTGGCTTCCGAAAATTGTGGAGGGGTGGCTGGATGTTTCATGAATGGGTACTCAGGTGTTTGTTTATTGATACCTTCTTCTATATCTGCAAAAGTATTTTTGTTCCTCAATTTATCAGAAAACTCTTCTGGCAATTGTGCCTTCATAGAAGATATAATCTTGTTTGCTGCAAGGAACTGTGATGGTGATGGAATAGACTGCAAACTGTCACTGCTGGGAGACTGTGTGGTCGTTGAACATTTGGACTCGGACAAGTTTGGACTCTTTAATTCGGTCCTTTGTATTTTAGCTAGTGGCTCTGTCTGAGAAGAAGTGGGACTCCTTTTAAGAGTTTTTACAGGTGACTGGTCCACGGATTCGTCTTTCTTAGCATCTGATTCCAATTGAGCCCGAAGGTGTGACAGTCTTGAGTTAGCAATATTTTTTGCTGAATGTGCTTGCGCTTTTGAAGCACTCGGTGGACTCTGCTTTTTATGAGCATCTGCATACTTTCTAGGTGTTTGCTTTTTCGGTGACGGCACATTGTGTTTCTCAGGTGTGGGTGTATCTGGAACTACAATGATATTTCATTAAGGAACTTAACTGTATATTAATTAATATAAAATTTTACATTTGAAGATAAACAAAACACAAAGAGACTGATATATTATATAATATCAAGACAAAACAAAGATACCCAGGAACAGTAAAAAACAGATGTGTAAAGGCCATGCAAATCATGACTCAGACATAATAGCTCTATAATCCATAACTTTCAGTGCAATCTTTAAATATATAAAACTCAAAGGTGACTGACTGACATAGTGATCTATCAACGCACAGCCCAAACCACTGGACAGATCAGGCTGAAATTTGGCATGCAGGTAGATGTTATGAAGTAGACATCCACTAAGAAAGAATTTTGATCAATTCCACCCCGAAGCGAAGCGAGGGCGGGCCACTAGTATTTCATAAAAGAAACAAATACGTAGAAAACCTGTGTAATAAACATTAAAAACCATTAAAGCCTATCACATTGCAGCAAATCCCATTGTAACTGAACTTTCAATCAATTCCTTACTATGTATAACTGAAAACATTAGACTAAGTAAAAGAAAATAATAATAATAGTACCATCTTTTTGTTTCTTTTTCTGTGGAGAACTTTGTCCTTGACCATCGCTTTTCCTCTTCAGTGGTTTCTTGTTAAAATCGTCTTTCCTACTTTTTTCTTCGTGTCCAGATTTAGTCTTCTTACTTTTAAGCTTGCTTTGACCAGATTTATCGTCCGGCTAGAAAAATATTGTATGAATTATTGATTACAAAATAAGAGCTACATGTTTTATCTACTTTGTTTGTGACCTTGGCGATTATTTTATCGTGATTTATATTTGGCTGTTTGACATTGAATAGTAGTAAACATACAATTGCTTAATTTTACAAGAATATTGTAAAATTGCGACACTAACCACAGGTTGGGTCCAAGAAGATTTCCCCGTTTTCTTGTTGAAGTAGTACTTTCTTCCTGGATTTGATTTTGAAGCACACAGCACCCAACCATCAGGAAGCTGTTTTTCTTCATTTTTGTTAGCATTCATGGTGAATTTATGAAAATATTTGTACCTACATTATAAAATTCAATGAAGTTCAATGAAATTTTACACCTACTTACGACGACGTTTCTCGTACCTACAGTCACAGAGTACAGCATACACAGCAGTAACCAAAGAGAGAGAGAAAGAGAGAGCAATATAACCTATGTTTAAGCGGGCTACTGACATCCCTGCCGCAGGGTCAATCTAGGGCGCACGGGCGGTCGGGGCAATTTCGGCTTGTCTCTATACACATGCCTGCTATTGAGTGTTCGGGTGTATGTTGAGCTAAACACACGCGTTGTTAATAGTCCCAGTATTATCAAAAATCAAAAGATTAATAAATAAAGTTTGTGTTTTTTTCTCCCACATGTGGGGTCGGTTTATATACTTCTATCACTCGAGATCAAACTTCATAATCATTATGATCTACCGGCATGTTGATCGAAATACGTGCGCTCCATGTGACAGTTAGCAACCAACTGATTGAAAAATTGCCCCGATAGCGCTACTACACATGCGGCAACGTGCAGGGCGGCAGGGGCAATCTAGGAACCAAGGATAGTCTCGCGCCCCTGCCGCCCTGCCGCAGGGTCAATGTAGAAATTAAGAAGGCAATTAAGGGTTATCCCCACTCTTATACCCTAGATAGCCCCTGCGGCAGGGATATCAGTAGCCCGCTTTAAGAGATGAACTTCATACAAAAAAAATGAAAATTATTTTATATGGACATCTGTCTGATCAAGTTAGTACCAACTTCAACAAATTTCAGAAATCTCAATAATGCCAACAAAATAAGCTGTCGACTGAACTGACAGCTATCATAATATCGTGGATTTACCAAACATCTAATATTTCGATCCCGAGTGCACGCTATCCATAATAACTTAGAGGCGAGCTAAACTGTACTTCCAGGGCCAAAGTGGTGATACTTCACACTAGATTAGGTTAGTGTTATGAGCGTACGGGTGCGGCCAGAGTGCACTCAGATTCAGATTCAGATTCCGAAAACAAGCGCGAGAAATAAACAGTGTAGTCTAAGCAGGTTGCCTGCTTTTTCTCGCGCTTTGTTTTCTGAGTCTGAATCTGAATCTGAATCAGGAGTGCACTCTGGCCGTACCCTTCAGGTGCGGCCAGAGTGCACTCAGATTCAGAGTCAGATTCAGATTCTGAAAACAAGCGCGAGAAATAAACAGTGTAGTCTAAGCAGGTTGCCTGCTTTTTCTCGCGCTTTGTTTTCTGAGTCTGAATCTGAATCTGAATCAGGAGTGCACTCTGGCCGTACCCTTCAGGTGCGGCCAGAGTGCACTCAGATTCAGAGTCAGATTCAGATTCTGAAAACAAGCGCGAGAAATAAACAGTGTAGTCTAAGCAGGTTGCCTGCTTTTTCTCGCGCTTTGTTTTCTGAGTCTGAATCTGAATCTGAATCTGAATCAGTAGTGCAATTCTGTAAAACCCATAATCTCATCTCACTGTGTGTGTCGGATCCATTTTGCTTTCGCTCTCTAGGTTTCGCTTCACGGAATTTTCGCATTCTGTAACCAATTGTACAAGCAAGTGAAGCGAGATGTCATTTATATCCTAAGTAATTTGTAGTGTTACCATTTTAAAAGTTTTTGGTAAATCGAGATATATCGACTTAGTTATTATGCGTGAAAAAAGCAGGTAAATTTATTTTTTTAGATATATTTGTAGATATGAGGCTCAAGTCTAAAGTTTTAATGAATGTAAAGTTAAAATAGTCTTATTTTTAAAGTTTGGTAACTTGGCCGAATGAGGGCTTACTCTATGCACATCTCTGTAATCGAGTGAAAATCGACGCTAGCGCTACTAAGTGGGAGTGGCGGTTTAGTAAACTATCACAGGTGAGACCATATCATACCTAAATGGCTTTGACGTTTCAATGGCATTCTGTAACGAATTTCAGCGCTTGTTTACACCTCACATTAAAAACCGCACTCGAAAGTAACTGTCAAAATAAAAGTTACTCATTAGCTGCGGTAATAGAAGTGATTGTACGAAGTGAGTGTTTTTGTAGACTATTATCATCATAAAACAAGAGTAATTATTAAATTATTTATAATTACGTTGCTTTTGTTTATTTAAGTAATAATTCTTTAAAATTATGTCTATCTAGTATTTCAGATGACTCACTCTATTACTTGCTTTTTACTATAGAAAGCCCATGTATGATGTAGATTTGGCCAGAAGCCGCCTACAAGCCCAATTTCTGTGTAACCTTGAGTAATTTCATGTGAAGATGAATATGTGACTAAATAAAGATTTTTTCAACAATTGTAAAATGATTTAAAGTATTCATTTAGAAGAAACCAAGTGTAATGGAAAAGGATTATCCAATAGAATGAAGGTAAAGTACCTAATTGCATAACAAAAATAAAACCCAACCAAGAAACTTTTTATAACAGTTATATAAGAATATTTTTTTTTTTGTTTCAGATACTGTGTACACTTTCATTTGTGCAAATGGGAGTTACTAAGGATAATAGGGCAAAAAATTACACACATTTATCCCAACCATCAATATCAAGACTTGTAAATGAAATTGCCACCTTTTTAAGATTTTATGTCATCCAGACATAGCAAAATGCATCACAATGCCAAGTGATAAAGAATTGGTAAGTAAACTTTAATTCACTACAATTAAACAAATACTTGGGCAAATAGGTGTACAAAAGATATAATAAAGTAGAACCCTCGGTATAAATATTACATATAATTCAAGTAGAACAGTGTTTCTTAGTTTTTTCAATCCTTTACTTTAATTATTTTAGAATATTTTATGTGGGTAATAAAATTTCTATTTGTAGTTTATTTAAATTATCTAATACTTAAGTAGTAAACAGAGCTATTCAGGACCACTTTTTATTTAATTAATTTTTAATGCCTTTACATTAAATATGGCGGTCTTAATGCCAGCATAGCATTCTCTACCAGTCAACCGGAAGGAACGAGAGTCAATAAACGACATTTAACTTTGGTTTAGACCAATTTACCTTTAAAAAAACTACTAGGTATATTTTTTTGGAGTTATTTTAATAAACTTTACTTTTGTTACAGATTTTTGGAGAAATTTAAAATGCCTGCAGCTGTTGGTAGTAAAGACTGTACCTTTATCACCATAATAAGACCAAAAGAACCTTTAGTAAAAAGCATAAGGCAACGGTGTTGTGTAAACATTAAATGTAGTTAATGTTAATTGAATAAATATATTTTGATTTAAAAAATAGTCACTCATATTTTTAACCCTTCACCACAGTAAACTACAAAAGTAGGTAATGATTTTATTGAACTATTTCATCATCAGCCTATTCCTGCACCCACTGTTGAGGCAGATGGAATAGGGAGACTGGCCGTGACCCACCTAGTAGTAGGACCTAGTGCGGACTGATCAGTGCTAAGGACTGCAGATGCAGCTGGGACCAATAGATTGATGTGTCATCTGAAACACGGAGAAGATCGAGATAATAAGTTTTTGGTCACCCATACAATTACCAAAAGTTGCCTAACTTTCATGATTGCAGGACGAAGACTCTAAGCACCTGCGTCTCCGGGCTCCTCTTTATTTAGATTGAACGTTTTAAATGTTCTACATAAAAACTAACTATTTAAGAATTAGTTTCTGTGTAGTTCCTATAATTAATATACATACCTACTTAATTCTGAATGATTTATAATATAGACCGGCGAGTTGCGTAAACCCCCATTGCAATGAAAATGAAGATAAATTAATAAAAGGGTGATTATTTATAGTAAAACTCGATAAAATAAATATGTAACATTTTTATTCATAAATTATGACAGATGCCTTTGAAACTGTACATTACATTGTTACATTTTTGTCAGAAATGCTCGTCAGCCTATTTGCCAATTTTTATGTTTTTTTTTGTATATAAATAAAGAGAAAATTGAATATTAATCGATGCTTTTCTGAACAAGTATCTGAGTGGTGTTATATAAAGCAGTAGTAGTGGATCACTAAATAGCTCAGTGATTATTACTTCCATCTGTCAAAAGCAGTTGGCGAATAGGCCTACTGTGGTCTGTCTGGTGTGGTCTGCAGGTTGTAGATGTAGCTGGCGCAGTGACCACTTCTCATGAATATAATGTAAGCAGTCTAGCACCGCAACAATAGGCCGTGTGTCATTAGACAAATTTTAACAGAGATCTTTGTTGAGATGGAGGCGAAGCCTGCAAAGAACTTGTTGTGCGTGTTGCTGAAATAAAAAAAAATATATAAGTTGTTGAATAACAACAATAAATGTCACAATTATGATTGGGCCTGGGTCAGAATAAACTTATTAATGATACCTACTCTTTTTTTCTTTTAACACAAACTTTATGATTTTTATAAAAGTAAAGTATTGAGATAAGAAAATAATCAATATTATTACATTCTATTAATACGTACTTGGAGCACTATATTCGGAAATATTCACAACTACAAAATAACAATATGTACGAATCAAATTTTCTCTTATTCTCTTTTTACAATGACACTTATAAATAAATCCGAAAATATATAAAAAGAACATAAATAAAAAAAGAATTAAAAGAACTTATTTTCTAATGTGCCAGTGCCTGCGAGCGAAATATCCATAGACACTGGCTGTATTGCGACATGAACCAACGTTTGTGCGGTGGAAATAAAATAATAAAATTTTATGCCAGTCAATTTAATGGTGGCTTTTCAAACAAGTGGTTAACATAGTCTTACAAAATTAAAAACTACTGTAATTTACGTATACTTACAACATTTCGAAGAAATTAGTGCCCTTTTCCTTCTTGTAAGATTAATGGGCGGGCTTGAGATCTATAATGTTTTCTACTCTACATGGTAAAATTATTTTAAAAAGTATTTTAGATAATACACGAACAATTTTTAACCTAGAATAAAGCCCGTCACAGACGTAGCTATAATATATATTAATATGAATCATAGCAAGACATATTACAACATATTTTCAATATAAATTTTCGAGTGACCGCACACATATATATATATATATATATATATATTTCTATGACGTCACCAAAATATTTCGACAGATATATTTCGGTATATTACAGTACAGTACGACCGCAGAC